CGAGTCAAACGAGTGCTTCAAAGTTCAGTGGAAAAGCAATTTTTTGCAAATGATGTGACTTATTATGCATCTTAGAGCAAAAGATGCAATACGAATCTTCTTTTTGAAAGGCGACTCCTTCCAAGTGTAACAAATATTTCATATTTTGATGTTGTATATGTCCAAAAAATTTGAGATTCAAAAAACGCAGTTCTGATTGAAAATGAGAGGTGGCTTTATAGCTGTGACCAGCCTTCGGAACCCGTTTTTTCAAATTTTCAAATTTTTCTCCGGCCAAAATTCATGAAATTGGGAGCCGTTCTGGTCAATGGTATGACGTTAATTTGCGCACAAAATAGTGGTTTTTCAGACAATTATGAGCAAGAGAGAGCAAATCACGGTGATTTTTAGGGTGGTTTTATAGCTATGGCCAGCACTGTATTATACGGTTCTCGAATGTTATTCGATTTTCGAATATCATTCGATTTTCGAATACTGATCGAATAGTAATTTATGTCATTGAGACTGCCTATGAGAGGCCAAAACATTTAAGAATAAGTTGTTTCATGCAAGTGTCAAGAATAGACACTTTCTTAAGTTACAATTTTGGAAAAACGGTTTAGTCGTGAAGTGATTTTTTTGTACTTCAAAGAAGATTATTTGATTGCGGTGATATACAGGGGTCCCAGCTGTATGTAGATCTGTAAGCTGACATCAACTTAGAGTATGGAGCAATTTATCAGTTTATTCAATCGATTTATCGCTTTTCACTGTTGTAAAATTACCTTAAGATTGAGTAGGGTTCCGAAACATCAAGAGCCATTTCCCCAAGGAAAAGAATAAAAAGGCCGAAAGTGTTGCATTAGACTTTTAAAGACACTCACTATATGTAGAATTTGCACTCAACCGTAATGCATTTTTCAAAACTTACGTCAGGTACATCGCAATAAGTGTTTTTTAACGCTTTCCAAAAATGTGGCCATATGAGAAGCTTGAAAACTCGTGCGTAGTAAAATTAGCGTACGTAACGCTGCTACACAGATTTTAGATTTTTTGGGGGAAATTCTTTTGGATGTCTTTACAGTTGGTCTATATGCTGAAAGTTCCTTCCGTGATAACTCACAATAATGAAATCATGGGTGATTCGCCTTCTGCTGTATTTGTAAGCTGAAGTCATTCCTACTGGATGTTACCCAAAAATTGGCAAAAGACTTCGTGAGAGGTAGCGATCAAACGGTGTGTAGTTACTTTTAGAAAACCCCGCATACGCCATGCATATCGAATTTTTGAATATTCGGTGCTTATCAAACTTCCGAATAGACAATTTTTACCAAATTTTGGAATATTCGGTGCTCTTCGAATGTTCGAATATTCGATGGACATCGAATGATCGAATTGATGACCATCGAATATTCGACTATCGAATAATATCCGAGAGTTGAAGTTTCCGAATATTCGACTTTCGAATAATATTCGAAAACGAAGATCTTCGAATATTCGACTATCGAATATATTCGATTCCTGGAAATTTCGAATATTCGACTTTCGAATTTTATTCGAAATCTTAGATTTTCGAATATTCGACTTTTCGAATCATTCGCATTCGAATGATTTATTTGAATGATCGAATAAATCATTCGAATAAGATCAGATCGACAGCATCATCTCGGCGGAGCTTCCCAGTCGAAAAGAGGATCCTCTTCTATTCGATGTTGTCCTCAAAAACATGATCCATGGGCCATGCGGATCACTAAATCCGAGGTCGCCTTGCATGAAGGACGATCTGGGCGTATTTTCTCCTTCAGCCACACTAAGATGTGGGCATGCGGAAGACTGCGTTTCTGCCATTCCACGGTGTACAACCAGCAGCGAGTGTCTACGTAGACGTGGCTCTTCGTTAGCACGTCTATAAGCTTCGTGAGCTTCTGATTGAAGACTCTCGCCGTGATGTCGTGGCGGTCAGAAGGCGCTTCACCAGGGAAGAGCTCTTCCGCAATTTCGGTCCACGCCGAGTTGCACGTGAACGTGATGAACAGATCAGGACGCCCGTACGCTCTAACGTAGGCCATTGCGTCCTGAGTGTACTCGTGCATGTGGCGTGGGCCGCCCGTGAAGGAGGATGGTAGTATGACCATTTGCCCGAGGTCAGTGACATTTCCATCTCCGGCCACGGCATCCCGCAGGTGGATGTAGTCGTCTGCACGCAGCTTTCGCTGATTGCGTCGAATGAAGAGGAGCCGTTCACTCTCAATCTTGGCGTACATGTCCACGAAGAACTGGTGAAATAGTTGGCGACATTTCACGACGTGGTTGAAGGACGTGGACCTTATCCATGCGATGCGCATAGAAATCCATAGCCGATACCCTCTTATTGGTAGGGGCACCAGTGCTAGGATTCCTCTGCCATAGTTCGAAGTGATACCCGTCTACCCCATCCCAAAACATGAGTGGGTATTGCAGGGCATCGTACGACCTATGGGTTTCAGAGATGCGCTGCAACGTTTCGGAACGTTTTTGGATGATAATGTCACGCCCGTCGCTGTCGTCTTCGCCAACCAAGACCCACCGCCATCTCGCTTACAGACGGAGCGTTGAAGCGTCGTTCATGCTGACCAGCAGGCCTCCTGTCAGCACGGATAACGACCTTATACTCGTCTGTAGGCATTCGGTCCAGGTTGGTCTTGAAGTCCTTCACCAGATCGTTGTGCTGATGCAGCATTCTTTGCAGCTCTAGCACGACGTCCGGCCTTGTGCCACAGATGATGCCGCAACGTTGATCCGCTTGCAGCTGCTCGTTGCAGACGAAGTGCAGCTGCAAGAACTTGGGGCTATCATTGCCATTAGGAAGCAGGGATCCAACTCTATGATAGACCTGTCCCTGCACCTTAAACGTTGGCATGAAGCCCTGTTCCTCAACTCAGGCATGGCGACCGTGGTGCCGAAGGACGTCATCTGGAAGCACGCATTGTACTTCCTGATGTTCTGCAAGATATGCCTGGACACAGCACTGGTGCCGGACATGTATGAACGAAGCGGCTCAGGCGGCTCACGTAGAGGCGGAAGGTCGACTCTGCCGCTGGAACAGCACATGCCAGGAGGTTCGGCTCTAAACTTCTTGGCTTGACACTTGCCACATACGACGTCCATCTTTCCGATTACTACCTTCGGATGGGTCGAGAGTCGACCTGGGCATTGTAGTTCAATGCCGCGAAGTGAAGCTCTACTCGCCTAGATGTCTGTCGAGCGTGGACATTCGAACGCGATCACGTTCGAGCCGTACTGAATGCGCTGCACCAGCTTCCGCTCTTCGTGAAGCCTCAGTCCTCATTCGACTGCTGTCGAGTCGAGACTCGCGCTCTTCAGCCGTCTCCTGAGATCTGGCTTCGGCGTGTCTGACTCGGTCGTCATCGAGTCGAGAACCGCGCTCTTCAGCCGTCCCTCGAGATCTGGCTTCGGCGTGTCTGACTCGGTCGTCATCGAGTCGAGAAACGCGCTCTTCAGCCGTCTCTTGAGATCTGGCTTCAGCGTTTCTCGACCGCATATCTTCAAGTCGAGAACCGCGCTCTTCAGCCGTCTCTTGAGATCTGGCTTCAGCGTGTCTGACTCGGTCGTCATCGAGTCGAGAACCGCGCTCTTCAGCCGTCTCTTGAGATCTGGCTTCAGCGTTTCTGACTCGGTCGTCATCGAGTCGAGATTCACGACTCTTGAGACTCTGAGGCTCTCAGAGCAGCAAGCCGCAGGCGAGTCTGCGAGAGACTTGCTTCACGCTGTTCCAGCGTTTGCGTTGCTCTCGCCTCGGCTATTCTGGCACGATTGCCTTCTAACCGTTTCTGGCGCTGCTCCGAGGTCTCAGCCTCTCGTTGATCCCTGGCCTTTTTGGCCTTGGGATCAACTCTTCCGATGGATGCACGCTTCTTGGGCGGCATCCTGTGATGAGAGCCTTTAGGCTATAAGCTACTCGGTACCCGAGATATGGGAGCCTGTCGGCTTCTCGGTACTCGAGGTAGAGCCTTTAGGCTTCTCGATGTTCGAGATTGAGCCTGTTGGCTTCTCGGTGCTCGGGATGGAGCCTGTTGGCTTCTCGGTACTCGAGGTGAAGCCGTTGGCTTCTCGGTACTCGAGAAAGAAAGAGCCTTTAGGCTTTGTCGCTTGGTCCTCAGATCTTAGATCACTTATCAGGTCCTCAGGTCCTTAGATCTTCGGTCCTCGCTTGGTACTCAGAGCTCTCGGTGGTTCGGTGGCCGCCGGCTAGCAGAGGTGAGTGACCGACAATGCCGAGATCGGCCGCCTTATATACCCCTCGAAAAGGGGCGGGGCCGGCTGTGATTGGTCACACCAACTCGGAAGGGGCGGATAGTTTTTGTATGGAAAGCCTATACTTAACCATACGAATTGGACCGCCCACTTTGGACCGCCCTTTGCCCCGCCCCCTTGGAGGGGTATATAAGGCGCCGCGGCTCCAGTCATTTCCGGTGGTTGCCTCGTGCCGGACGGTTGCCTCACTCGGAGGATAATCATCGGATGCCTCCTCACTCGAAGGACAACACTCGGTTGCCTCCACTCGGAGGACAACCATCGGATGCGTCCTCACTCGGAGGAACAACCATCGGATGCATCCTCACTCGGAGGACAACCATCGGATGCGTCCTCACTCGGAGGAACAACCACTCGGTTGCCTCCTCACTCGGAGGACAACCATCGGATGCGTCCTCACTCGGAGGACAACCATTCGGTTGTTGTCTCCACTCGGCGGTACAACCATTCGGTTGTCTCCACTCGGAGGTACAACCATTCGGTTGTTGTCTCCACTCGGCGGTACAATCATTCGGTTGTCTCCACTCGGAGGTACAACCATTCGGTTGCCTCCACTCGGAGGTACAACCATTCGGTTGCCTCCACTCGGAGGTACAACCAGGGTAAAGCGGGGGGTGCGGCACGCCGCAAGGGGGGGTCGTAAGGGGGGGGGGGGTAGGTAGGGGGGGTCGTATCGACCCAAGGTCAAAAGCGGTTTCTAAGGGGAAATGACTGCAGCTAAGTTCTTAGATGTGCTACGCTCTTTCCCAACTACCTCTGACAACTCAGGTTCAATAATTGAGAGGAATACTAAATGGAGTCTGGAGCGCACTTGTACAAGCTGTGTGACTAAACTGACTTGATGAAAGCGCTGTTGAAATCCTGCAAAATTCAAGTTCAACGACACAAACTTGCAGATACCGTATGCCTACCGTAACCTACCGTACCTCTAATCAAGCATAATTGTCGTAATCCGCGTGTCGAATAACCCCTTTGCGCCAAGTTTCAGCGAACTCTGAGGTCTCCGAGCAGTAAACAATCTTGTATAAAGCAGTAATTTAAAACATGATTAACTTCATCTTAACGGTGAGTAAGCTGCCTCTTCTTGCACTCAATACAAAGCACTACTCCTTCTTTGTCCACCTCAGGAATCCCGCTTCAGAAGACCTCCAAACTATTGAATTAGAAGCAAACCAAAATCGCTTTTAGCTTTTGATCGCTGTGCTTTCACCAAATATTACTCAGAGCTAAGAAGACGAATCAGGTTCAAAACATCCCTATGGAATCTACGAGGTTTAGGCTATTGATTCATATAAATATTGTCCGCTAAAAATGTTTTTTTGATATAGTTAGTGGCCTGCGGCACCCCCCCTCAAAACCTGCGGCTGCCGCAGGTTTTGAGGGGGGGTGCCGCAGGCCATTAACTTACCTTCAAAACGTTCAAACAGCTGCCTTTTTCATGTCAACCTATAGATCCATCCTTCCTCTCTCCGTAGTAGCTGCTTCCCCTCGAACCTTCTTCTACAGAAGGAGATACATATGGTTTTTGCGAACCATATGCTGGGAAGTGTGGCCAAAAAATATTGGGTTACGGTAGTGCTCGAAAATTGTCAAAACACAAAGCCGCGAGATGCGAGTTTTTGAAATCTGCGAGCTAAATTCTCATCTTGTAATGTGCTGTTTTTTGGGCTTCTCTCTTTTTTTCTCGCTTTCCTCTCTCTCTCTTTTCCTATCTTTCTTCACTCATTTTCAATCACTTTCTCTTTATATTTCCAGGGCATGTAATGACTTGGGCGAAAGCATTGAAGAAATAGCAGGTCGACTATGCCCACCATTAAAGCGACGGCGAGCTCATACACCGGATTGTCATTGGAGAATTTGCAGATTTAGTCCCGGTAAATTTTCAGTTTCACCTGTTTCATTTGATGACGGCGAAAATATTTTTGTTAGGTCGAAGTCCTGCAACGTATGGAAGAAAGCAATCGTTTGCGGTTGCAAAGAATTGCTGAGCGTTTTGAATGTCAACAGAACCTAACCTATTCGACGCAGCTGGTTTCGTAGAGCGGTTTTGACAAAGGTAAGTTTTGTAACTAAGAAATTTTCCAGGTAACTGACGTAATTTTAGATCAGATTACTCTAGGATTATAATGTATTTCTAAATGTACCTCAGTATAGTGCTTTTGCATGGAAGGATATGCCTAGCTTACTGCCCTACTCTAAAAAGGTAAGTGTATTTTATACTTCCTTTTTTGTCTGCCTACTTTCCGTCTCTTTTCGTATTTATTTTCGCGTTTTTGTATAAATTCTTACTGTTGACAACTAAGTGATACAGCAATCTATCTTTGAATCTAGGCAATCTTTCTTGCTCGGGATTGAGCGGAAAGAAACGTTATGATTTTTCTAGGCGATAGTCGCATTAGCGCTTTTTCAAAAAGTTTTGAGACTTGTCGTTACAGTTTTTTCTCTTCACCTACGTGTCATCCGATGTAGAGACCTGTACCGGCTTTTATCAAGTGATCTTTCTCGTCTGAGTGTCTCAGCGGTGTCTTCAGGAGACAGCGCCAAAATTTTGAACTGCTCTGACTTTTCGGATAGTGCGTCATGTGAATCTGTTACTGAATTAGGTGAACAAACGCTCGAAAGAGAAACTCGCTCCAATTGTTTTCGTTACTTCAGGAAGACTCACTCAAAGCTCGATCTTTTGTATCTTCTTGAGCCGTAGCAACTAGACTTACCTTTTCTGGTACTCGTTACGGTTAGGATGCATTCCTGTAGTACCATCTCTGGATATCGTGCTTCCATTCCAAGGTCAGCGTTTTGTAGTATGAGCAAAGGATAAAGTTTAACCTTCACCTTTCCAGATCATATTGACTGGCGTCGCGCCTCGATCCGTGTCCCACTAGCTCGATTCCCCGAGTATCACTTTATTCTGCGCTCTTTCGAAATGGCAGAAGTATTAGAGCTACGAAGGATAGGACGAGTCTACTTTGAGCGCTATTTCATGGACCAGAAAGGTTTGTTGCAATTTTTGTTGCTGTTCGTGACTGTTGTTTACATCTTTACATCTTTTCATACTTTCATGAGAACTTACTTGCTTTTGTGCTTCGTACCAAATATTAAATTTCCCTCCAATTTGATTTTCTTTGTAGCTGGGCTAGAGCCCTGATTGCTTCGCTTCGTGAGAAGTTAGGCGTATCACCTCCGGAAACTGTCAACAAGGTGAGCATTAACTCTTCTTTGGTCTTGTGAGTCTGGAAATTGTTTCTATTTGCGTATGTACCTAACATTGCAATTGCCACAGAGTTTTGTTATGCTTATCTTTGTGTTTATTTTTTCACTTTTCATCTAAGTGAATTTTCGTTCTATGAAAGAAATAATATCACATACTCTGATCTAGTGGAGGCAATTTTGTTCTTATTTCGAAAAAAAGTCATGGTTATCTGAGAGAGTATGTCGTAAACTTTTTTTTTTTCACGGAAAGCTTAGCTATGATCTTTTTCTCAGGCTGTACCGCTGTTCAACGACTCTTTCATTGCTCCAATACTTACGCCCATCAATTTGCAACCTTTGGATGATGAATATCTCGGTAGGGTCTTCCACACATGTTAAGTTTGTGACAACTTCCTTTCAGGTCCTAGCGAAGGTGCTGTCAATTCGGGTTCTTTCCTTCACAATTTCTCCTCTTTCACTATGGTGTGGGCTGCTTCTTCTTCTTTTGGTGTCTTTTTTTTTTCGAATACATGTGCAGCTTTAGTAAACATATCTTTCATGGAACAGTATTGGTCGGCCCTGGAAAGCAATGGAAATCCTAGCACACTCTGTAGATCCCCCCACCGAAACTGAGTTTTACTCTGATTCGAGTGTAGGTGAGTTCTGCAGTGTATTATCAGAATGTACGCAATATGTATGGTTAATTTAGGATTTCGACCAATTGAGCCTGGGTTAGGTGTAGAATTTAGCAGAGCCCTTGGAGGTAACCGCATCCGTGAAATGTTTACAGGTAGGTTCCATGGCTAATTGGGGGGGGGGGGGGTAGGGAATGGAGGGGGGTCGTTCCGAGGTCCGGCCCGGAGGGGGGGGGGGGGTCGTATCCGACGGTCGTGTGCCGCACCCCCCGCTTTACCCTGGGTACAACCATTCGGTTGCCTCTGTCGGACAACCGAGGTTGTAACAAAAATTGAACCACTGGCTCAACAACTCCGTCGAGGTGAGCCATTCGGCCACCTTAGTCGAGGCGGAACCCGCGGTTCACTTGCTGAAAGCGTACGGATATATCAACACTCGGTGAAACCGGAATTTTACAGAAAAATCAAAGATGTTTGTATCTCGTCTCAGAGACATCCTGGGACCTTGCATCAAAAACATGTATATGCTAACTTTTGATGGCCAATCCAGCGGTGCTACTTAAATATTTTTTTTCTTTCTCATTCGAAGACGCCATCATGATTTCCTCTCAATGAATTCAAAAAACCCCTGGAAGAACGGTTTTTTTCCTAAAATATTTTTGTATGTTTGACCACATATACAATGTGTGCATGCAAAAATTCAACAATTTGTCTAGGTCTATTAGAACCTGAAATCGAAGAGTGTTTCATAAATAAAACATTTTTCAGAATACGCCAAAAAATCTCCAAATCCAGACTTCGCCAAAAAATCAAAATTGTTGTGATTTTAAATGATCAGTGTACTCTTTCAATACATTTGATCCTGGCATTAGCACTCGAATTATTTTAGGGAGGCTGTTTTGTAATCAGCGCACTCGCTTATCCCTTACCGAAATCCAATCCCAGACGACAGGAGAAATATTTTGATTCAGGAGTGAGGATGATATATAAAGAATAGCTCGCTTGAATAAGCATGACCAAGTACCAACTTATATCTTTCTAATCCAAGGCTCTAAAAAACAAAGTATTGGGTATTCTCACGAACCGCTACTACATTCCGTAATCAGCATGCTCAGTACCCCACTGTGCCAACTCCCAGTCCCGTAGCTTGAACTTTGCAAAAAAAATCGATAAAATTGGCAAAAGTAATGAACGATTTCAAAAAACTAATTTTGTATTCGTAATCAGCATGCTCGATTCCTGTGCAAACTCCCAGCCTCGCATGTCAAAATTTACAAAAAAATCGATAAAATCGATAAAAGTAATGGACGGTTTCAAAAACTAATTTTGTATTCGTGATCAGCATGCTCGATTACCCCCCTGTGCCAAATCCCAGCCTCGCATGTCAAAATTTACAAAAAATCGATAAAATCGATAAAAGTAGTGGACGGTTTCAAAAACTAATTTTGTATTCGTAATCAGCATGCTCGATTACCCCCCTGTGCCAAATCCCAGCCCTGTAGGTGAACTCAGCAAAAAATCGATAAGAATCGATAAAATCGATATCGATCGATGACGAAAAGTAGCTATGACACCCGCCGGGGCCCGAAGTGTATGTGTGCCAAGTTTGGTCCGGATCGGTTCAGAAATGGAATTTTCTATTCGGAACATACGTACAGACAGACAGACATACATACAGACATACACTCAGACAATCGCCGGGGGCAGGCGGGCACCGGAAAAATAGATTGCTGATCTCTCGCACCCCGCTCGCGGATTTTTTGGAAAGCAATCAGGACTTTTCGGAAGACCGCTCGCTGAGTCAGCGGATTTTTGAGAGGCCGCCTGTTGAATTTTTTTCGCTCTTATCTTTTGCAGATATATTACTGAATCTCTGAGAAATCGAGAACTCAGCAAGCGGTCTTCCGAAAAGTCCTGATTGCTTTCCAAAAAATCCGCGAGCGGGGTGCGAGAGATCAGCAATCTATTTTTCCGGTGCCCGCCTGCCCCCGGCGATTGTCTGAGCATACATACAGACAAACAGACATTCAGCTTTATATATAAGATATGGGGGAACATAATTGGGGAGGGGACCACCGAGCGACCGGGGAGTGTCAGCTCATCTGGAGATTCCGGGCACCGCCCAGTTGGCGTGGAGACTGTCGAACCATCTAACTATCTGCGTCTCGACAACTTAAAGTCAAAAAGAGTACGTCAAGGAACATAGCAATATTAGCAACCAAAAATCGAAAAATCACTCCTTGAGTATTTCATGTAATCAGCTTATATCGCTGCGATATGCCTTCAAGAAATTTCGACTCAAGCATATTTCAAAGCGCAAGATTTCTCTTCTCTACTTTGTATTCGGAATCCTCATGCTCGATTACCCCTCTGTGCATACTCCCAGCCCGTAGGTGAACTCTGCAAAAAATCGATAAAATCGATAAAATCGATATCGATCGATGATGAAAAGTAGCCTATGACACCCGCCGGGGCCGGAAGTGTATGTGTGCCAAGTTTGATCCGGATCGGTTCAGAAATGGAATTTTCTCTTCGGAACATACGTACATACAGACATACATACATACAAACAGACATTCAGCTTTATATATAAGATTATTCGTAATGCACATTAAGTAAAAATAATAATAATATAACAATAAATATATAAAAATACTGCACACAATTTTCTACAGAGCTCGGAACACGTTTGCTAACAGTCCTTACGGTAGAAAACTTTGCGGTAAAGTGCAAATGAAAAACTAAAACTTTCGTTATATTTACCTAACGCCGCTCAGATTGAGGAAAAGGAGGAAGAGGTGCTGCCAGGGCTATAAGCGATGGTCATAAACTTATAAGGACACCGTTTGCGTAACTCTATGATTTTTGGTCGTACGAATCCATGAGGTACTAGGTGCAAATAAACTCAAGCGGTCTATTTATTCAGATCAGCAATAATGTACTAATTGTTTTTATTTACATATAATTAAACAGAACTGAGCACGACCTTCACATTATCAAACAAATGCTGTGCCAACTATTACATGTTTGGACAGCTTGAACAACCAACAGTATAAGAGTCTAGCAGTCGCACAAGTTCGCGTGTGCTCCAAATAGGAGCGCTCCTAATATGGATCCTAACAACGCAAATCTTGTAACTTTGCTTTTCTGTTCTTGTAACTTCTCAGATAAGTAAGTCTATTCCTTGTCACTGCAGCGCATTCGCCTCGCAGTGCTTTCAGCTATCTCTACTATGGCATATCGTTATCATTTGAACAAATTCAAATGATAACGATATGCCAAATTCGATCCCGTTAGCCCCGAAGGATATTTTGGGTTGGCAGCATTTTCGACATCGTGAAATTTTTGTTACAGTGACCCAACCAAATCACGACGTATTTTACGAAATTAAATTTTACGAATGTGCCTCTCATACAAATTGACGTTACGACATATGTCCTCTTTTCAAAATTTTGGCGTTTAAAAACTCGTTAGTTACTTGGTTTGAAGGTTTACCCATCATCGAAAATAACGATGAGAATCTGGCTGCTCCTAGTAATACTTGTCCTCGGAGTATACGCGGCACCAAAGAGACAGAAAGATGAAATGAGCAACCAAAACGAAATAATCAAAGGAGGAGGATGTCATCACAATCCTGAGAAACATCAAGAAGGAAACCCTGACTGCGTGTGTAGAAAATGCATCGAAGAATGGTACGTTTCAATTACGCAACTTTATGCAGGCGCAGCATAATCTTATCGTTGCAGGGAGGAACGAAAAAATACACCCTGGCAGAGATTTAAAAAAGAGTGTATGGCATGTTTCCTCACCTGTACAGGCACTGGGCCATTCAGCGTGTTTGATGACGACAAACTATACAATTGCGAGTAACCAACTTCCGTATGATTACACATAAAGTTGTTGTTGCATTTGGTCTACACAGATGAAAACAAGACCATAATATAAAAATTAAGAAGAGTTCCATCACATCACGTCGGTTTGAAAAAAATGGATATTGGCATTCCCTTTCTCGCACTTGCGAGTTTCTTACTCAAAAGTGTTCTAATGCCTTAGAAATTTTTGAATTCAGTTGTGGATATAATGCTCTTCAGGGTCATTCGTGTTAGAGAGAAAGAAAATCGTAAATTTTTGATTAAGTTGGAGCTAGAAAATTGCTAATGTTGAAATGATAGTATAATGATAGTATATACTAATGATAGTATACTCAAAAGAAGAAAAAAGGCAACCAGAGAGTTTTTGCGCTGAGGAACCAATTTCTCCAGCTGACCCCCACCCCCATCTTTTTTGCTTCATATTCCATTTTTTTCGTAGTATTTCTGATGCAGCGATACTTAAAAAGCAATGTTATTCAAAAAACAAGGCTTTGATAGAAATTATTACACTCAAATTCTCCTATACCGCTCTGGTGGCTTACGTCTAAACTAATCAGAGATGTTAGTGGAGTCTATATCATGAAACATCGCATATGTTATGTAAAAAATGAGGTTCTAAGTTAGCCATAATATTTTTTCGACTACCTTTTCAGAAAAGTGCTTAAAGTGTTAGTCTCCTTATGCGATAGAATTGAAATCGGGAGCTTGATGTTTTGGCACTTGCGTTTTGTTAAGGAAGAGTCTTAGAAATTAATTTTTGAGTTTGATTTCAGTCGTAAGGTGTACAGTCAAATTTTGAAAACATTTTCCGAAAAAGATAATTTTTAGGCAAAGTTCAGCAACTATACTTTGTGTCAACAGAGGATTTTCCTTTTCGTGGCCAAAAGCATACGCGTTGCGAAGGGATTGCGCTGCGTTTGCGTTGCATGCGAATACAATCACACAGTTTATAAGTAAATATTCTAGTGCTGGTACAGTCATGCTTGTAATAACTGAGCTCTTACCTTTCATGTAAGGATGGTGTTGGCTTCTGAAAACATTTCTTGTAGAATAATGAGCAGTATATAATGACAGTTTTGTTTTAAAGGTTCACTTAGATAGAATCGTCAGCAAGGACGTAATTTTCCATGAAATTTAGCGTAAATATTCTTAGCGCAGTAAAAACATTCTGGCATCAACAAACAAATAGTTGAATCTGAATTTCAAACTTTTTACACGGGACCTTAAATGCTTTAGAGATTGGGTGAGCAACAATTTTACAATTAGGGACGACTGGCTCTATGTTGAG